GATCTCGGTCTGCCCGTCGAATGCAAGAGTGTGTCCATCCTGTGCCGTGCTTCTCTCCTGCGAGCCGCTCTGAGGAGTCAAGCGTTCCCCGAGTTGCACCGTCGTCATGTAGAAGCAGAAGGTGATGATGAATTCGCTCCTGCGCACGCCCTATATCCATAGTTTAAGCAATATGGTATGTATCAGATGCGTCGTGAGTCTGATTCTACATTGCTGTTCCACCCACCCACCCGAATCGTAACAACAGCCATTGCCCGCTCTTGATGAGTAATCTCCCTAATGTGTACCCTCCCCAGCTCATCTTCGCCCGATTACGTTATCGAAATGATGACTACTCCCATGTTGGTGCTGGTCTTGCTGTTTTGGGACTAGATGTGATGGCCAAGCGACTGTCCAGCTCTTTGATTACATCCCTGCTGGCTGCAATTTCCAATGCTTGGCCAACCACCCGAAAAATCAGACAATATACTGGTTGTTTTGAGTTTGGGTTCGCGAGCCTGCAGCGGCGCGCCCACTTTCATTGTCCAACGCGGACGACGAGCTCGCGAGCGCTGCCGCTGCGCCGGTGCCAAGCGAAGTCGCCGCCGACGCCTGCCGCGAGATCCAGCGCGGCTTCGTCGCAGGCAGATTGATGATTGAACGTTCGATTTCCATGGGCGGCGCGCTGATTGGCCTGCCGCGTTTTATGGTTTTCGCCGTCGCCGCGTTGCGTCGACGTCTGGGCGGGCATCTCCACGGGGAACTGTAGCCAGGGATACTGGGCCTCGAGAGGCATGAAACAGGGCTGCCCTCTCAGCGGGGCCCTCCTCGCCCTCGCCCCCGACCCTGCCCTTCGACATTTCCTGCGGCCGCGGCCTTGTCTGGAGTTCAAGCTCGGGGCCTTCGCGGATGATTCATCCGTCGTCTACTTAACTCTCCCCTTCGTCATCGAGCGCCTCCTGGTTTCTGGCAGCCTCGCGGGCCCCCGCTTGAACCTCAGGAAATGCGCGATCATTGTCTCGAACCAGGACGACCCTGAGAAGGTGGTCGACGGCTTTCGCGACTATGTGCTGAATGCTACTCGAAACCAGTTTAGGCGCTCTGGCAAACTGCTCGGCGCGGCGGCGGGCTTCGGCGGCCAGACGGACGCCCGGCCCGCCGCCGGGCGAAGAATCAGGTCTCGGACGGAGGGTGCGCGCCGGTTCGGTCAAACTTTCGCTCGGCCCACTCACGCTTAGAATGTTTATGCGCTGCCTTTCGCGCCTCATGCGGGGCAATTGTCTCCGCCGAGCACGTCGCTTCTCAAGCAGGGGAGAGGGGCGCGTCAATTTCTCCCGAGAGCCCCTCGCCATGCCGCCCCCTCCCCGAAAGCGATGTGCTACCTGAAAGATCTCGGTCTGCCCGTCGAATGCAAGAGTGTGTCCATCCTGTGCCGTGCTTCTCTCCTGCGAGCCGCTCTGAGGAGCCAAGCGTTCCCCGAGTTGCACCGTCGTCATGTAGAAGCAGAAGGTGATGATGAATTCGCTCCTGCGCACGCCCTATATCCATAGTTTAAGCAATATGGTATGTATCAGATGCGTCGTGAGTCTGATTCTACATTGCTGTTCCACCCACCCACCCGAATCGTAACAACAGCCATTGCCCGCTCTTGATGAGTAATCTCCCTAATGTGTACCCTCCCCAGCTCATCTTCGCCCGATTACGTTATCGAAATGATGACTACTCCCATGTTGGTGCTGGTCTTGCTGTTTTGGGACTAGATGCGATGGCCAAGCGACTGCCCAGCTCTTGATTACATCCCTGCTGGCTGCAATTTCCAATGCCTGGCCAACCACCCGAAAAATCCGACAATATACTGGTTGCTTTGAGTTTGGGTTCGCGAGCCTGCAGCTGCGCGCCCACTTTCACTGTCCAACGCGGACGACGAGCTCGCGAGCGCTGCCGCTGCGTCGGTGCCAAGCGAAGTCGCCGCCGACGCCTGCCGCGAGATCCAGCGCGGCTTCGTCGCAGGCAGATTGATGATTGAACGTTCGATTTCCATGGGCGGCGCGCTGATTGGCCTGCCGCGTTTTCTGGTTTTCGCCGTCGCCGCGTTGCGTCGACGTCTGGGCGGGTATCTCCACGGGGAACTGTAGCCAGGGATACTGGGCCTCGAGAGGCATGAAACAGGGCTGCCCTCTCAGCGGGGCCCTCCTCGCCCTCGCCCCCGACCCTGCCCTGCGACATTTCCTGCGGCCGCGGCCTTGTCTGGAGTGCAAGCTCGGGGCCTTCGCGGATGATTCATCCGTCGTCTACTTGACTCTCCCCTTCGTCATCGAGCGCTTCCTGGTTTCTGGCAGCCTCGCGGGCCCCCGCTTGAACCTCAGGAAATGCGCGATCACTGTCTCGAACCAGGACGACCCTGAGAAGGTGGTCGACGGCTTTCGCGACTATGTGCTGAATGCTATTCGAAACCAGTTTAGGCGCTCTGGCAAACTGCTCGGCGCGGCGGCGGGCTTTGGCGGCCAGACAGATGCCCGGC